AGTCATAACAGGCCCTGGGTTTCCCGTTTTGAATGCTTTGCTTGCCTTTTTGCTTCTATAGAGTTCACCGTTCCTCCATTCCTGGATATGCTGAAGCACACAGACAGTGCATCATCTCCAGACCACCAGCACAAAGTGAAGAACCCACATCTGAACCAACAGGGTCCAGACAACAACCAGCACTCCAAGCACCACCGAGGTAGGATGAGTCTTTAATCAGGCTCGTGTTCGTTTAAACATCACTTTTATTTAAACCACTGGCACTGAACCTCTCATGGGACTATGAATTTATAATTTTATTATTTTAGTCCCTACATTTCATTTCTCTTTTTGGTCAAATTCATCATAGCATTGGCTCAAGTTTAGCTGACTCAGCTCCTTCTGTTTGGACTTATTTCTGTTGACATTGCTGCCTGCACTGTCCTACGGAGCCCCGCAGGGGACATGGGAGAAAAAAAAATTTAAGACGGAGATCTCGCAAAAACATTTGCGAGATCTCGCAAAACAAAATCGGGATCTCATTTAAGTTTTAGCCGCATTCTTTGGAGGCCGCCAGCTCGAAGCCGACCGGGAGGTCGAGGCACGATGTGCCGGGAAAGTGGTGTTCCTCCCGGCTGTAGTAGGTCTTGACCTCCCATTAGCTTCGAGCTAGTGGGTGTCAGATCTCCAAAAACATCGGAGCACTTTTGCAAATATGTGATGTCTTGAAAACCGAGCAGGTATCTGACGTTTACACAACTACATTCACGCCTCAAAATATCTTAAAAGTGTATTTTGTGACCCAGAAAGAGTAATATTACAACTAAGTAGCTGCCGCCATTGTTGGAATTCAGCTTTTGCGAGATCTCGCAAAAGTCCGTCTTAATTTTTTTTCTCCCATGTCCCCTGCGGGGCTCCGTACTGTCCTGTACTGCTGCCCTCCCCACCTCTATTTTTACAGCCAAATATAAACTGCCGTTAACTTTATAACAGTAAAATAAAAAATCGCTTTTAGAAGTGGTAAAATGAAAATATCCTCAGCTGTACTCAGGATTAAGGAGTCAGTCTGAGAACGCCAAAATTCAACAGCATTTAACTCTAAAAGCCACGAGAGGTGAGCTGAGGTGCAAAGAAGCACCGATTGTGATCTCATATGTGTCGTGTATGCAAACTGACCCGCGGGGATTTCCCAGAACACAAACTTGTCAAATATAAATAAATGTAGTCCTGAATGATCTATATTTATCACTGAAAAAAAAAAATACTCTGATGTTTTTGTCAAATAATAATATTATCATGTACCAACAGTAAACTTAATATTTTTATTTGTTATTAACAGGGTCTGTATTGGTCATAATTTTGCACATTTGCAGAGGAGATTTGGCAAAATGGGTTGCACGAAACTCATTTTAAACATTTGTTTCTAAATAAAGAAATACGTCACCTGGATAAATATTTTTTCTAAATGCATTAGAAATCTTCTTCCCAGAATCCCTCACAGCTGCCCAAATTTCCTGCATATTCGCCATCCATCCATTCACTTCAACTTATCCTTTTCAGGGTCACAGGTAACGCTGGAGTTTATCCCAGCTGTAGGGACAAGAGGCGGGGTACACCCTGGACAGGTCGCCAGTCTGTCGCAGGGCTAACACATAGACAGAGACAACCATTCGCACTCACATTCACTCCCACATCCACACCTATGGGCAACTTAGAGTTTCCAATTAACCTTTCCCACTTAGTGCATGTTTTGGACTGTGGGAGGAAGCTGGAGGAGCCAGGGAGAACCCACGCAAACACGGGGAGAACATGCAAACTCCACACAGAAAGACCCCGGCCTGATGGTGGAATTGAACTCAGGACTTTGTTGCTGTGAGGCAACAGTGCTAGCCATCGTGTCACTGTGCTGCTTCTTCTATATTAATGGAAAATACGCCCATATGATCCATTCTTCCATCTGCTCTCTCCTGCTTATCCAACCATAACTCTTTAGCTCCACTTCTTTTCTTGCTTATGTTTATAATGACTCCTTTTCATATTGATTTCTATGAGTTGATGAAGCAGTCTATTCCAACCTTTTTAATGCAGCGCTGCTCTCACACGCGTAGGGCATTTTACTTTGTGTCTTTTTGTCGTAAACAAAGACATATTTGTTTGATCTTTCTTCAGGCTCGGATGTGGTGATTGACAGCAGGTGTCTGAAGCCAGTTTCTCTCAACACTCTGCTGATGGTCTACATGTTCCTGTAAGTTTGCTGCCTTTGATTCATGCATGTCTTCACTAAAGGATTCTTCTGTCACTCGTCATAATTGGAAATTAAGCTGATCACTTATATGATCTGCGGATTTATCCCATCCATTCATTGGATGCACATTAATTTCAGTTTATCATTACATTTTCATTTGTAGTGCATTTTAGCCTCATTTTGCTCATCTTCTCTTTTACCTGTGTTTTTCCTCAGAGTGTGCACCCTGGTCTTGTCTTCATGTTACCTGGCCTTTAAGATCATCTCACTGGAGCAGAGACTGACAACGCTCGGCACTGTGGCCGAGTTCACACACCCGGAGTGAGTCGTCGAACTGTCTGAGACTCTGACAAGCTCTAGAAAACTTAGATAAAGAAGCTTGAACAACTGAGAAATTAGACATGGAAATGATAACCAGATGAAAGAGAAACAAAAACTGCAAAAGCGTCACGATGAATTTTATTCACATCCTCACAAAACAACTTTAAAAATAGCCCAAATAATGAAGCTAATGATCCAAACTAAACAGGCAACAGTGGATTCACACACATGAAATGGTTTCCTTATTTTGTCTCAAGGACTTTGGTACAATAATCTACAAGATTTACTTTTCTCTGATTTATTCATATTAGATTTTTGCTGATACATCTGACCCTTGTGAAGATTTTAAATCATTTTCATGGTGATTATTTTTGTGTTTTATTACCAGAAACAATTTTCTGAGTGGGTCCGCTGACGTAGGCACAAATCTTTTATCTGAACTGCTAACCATCAACCTGATGAAGCTGGAGAAGGTTGGTCTGTCTTTGTTTTTGATAGATACAGCCCTCTGGATATGCTATAATCCCCATTGATAATTTAATAATTAAATTATTAGACCATATTCTTACTCAACTAGAGTAGCTTTGCATGATTCACAGTTGTAGAAATAATCCCTCTTTATGTTATACTGGGTGCAACCCAGCAGTTAATCCTCTGTCTGAAAGTTGCTGTTTTAGCTCCATCTCTTTAAATTTAATGCAGAGATGGCGATGTTAGGGAAATATCCACTTTTTAGTACCCTGCAGATCCAAGAATAGGCAAAAATGTTCAAATCTGAGCAGTTAGAGGTCTGAAGCCTGAGTTACTCACTTTGGGATTACACAGATCTCATTATTTGACGTTTGGGCCATGTCTACAAGTGCATATGCTTAAAAAAAACTAAGGAAAAGCATAACAGGTCACCTTTAAAAATTGCGTGAATGTGTTGTCAGGTGTTTCTTTCATGAGCCTCTGAAAGCACACAGCAGGAAGGCTTCAGCAGTTTCCAAAGAGCAAAGTGTAATTGGATGCCTGTTGCCATTGATCAAACATTTATAGTCAGTGATCAGTTCAGAGCATCATTTGTAAGAAGAGCTCCATCAGTCTACACTCCATTTATATTTCAGGCTGACATTCGTCTCCTTACAAAGAAAAAGCAGCAGCTGACAGCCGCCTCAGTGTTTTAGACAGAAAATAAAGGTGGTAAAGGCTCAGAGCTGTGTCAGACTGTAGAGTCCACCTTGATCCTGAGTGAAATGAAAACTGGAACTTGACTGGAAATATTTATTTCACATTAAACCCGCTACTGAAAGAGATGATTTGAATTTAAATTGCTAGGAAGGGAGAAACTATCCACAGCTGCCAAAAAGAGTTAGGCCTGTAAACATTTAAGAAATAAACATCAGTCTTCATGTTTGGAAGAACTGCAGTTTTCTGGAAATCTGCTAATTGCACTACTTTGTTAAATAAGCATTATTTAACTTCATCTTTTACTCAAATCAAGTGGTCGTCAAAATTAGTGAAAACTCATGAATGTTGTCGTGATGGATACCTCCATCTTTTATATACAGTCTATGGTTTCCATGTGTCTGCAGTGGTCTACTTGATCTCTCTGCAGACTGACTGCACAGCGATTATGCCAGCTTCACGTGTGCCAGAATAGTAAACGTGTCAATGATGTTGGTACTGTTCTCCACATCTTCTGTGTTATAACAGATATTCATGTAGACATGACCCTAACGGCTGTTTCACCTGCTTCAAGTCTGAGTCTCTAGCTTTCAACAGGGACAAGGAAATGACCTTAACAACAAGATAAACAGGAACAGGCTTCATTTTGAAATCTACACTTACTAACCAAGACAAACACTTGCAATATCATCAGATACGTTTATATGCAGTCGAGTTTTCTGCCAATACAGTTTACAGTTAAGCAAAAGCAAACTTTGTTCTTTCAGGTGCAGAAGAACCTGCAAAGACTGCTGGAGGAAGCTGCCTGAAAGTACAGAAAACCAGTATACGCACAGTGAAAGTCATATATATTATTTTTGTAAATATAGTGTAAATATGTATGTTTGTTATAAAAAAAAAATAACACTACTGGAATGTATTCTGCCCTATGAAGCCAAAATACAGTAACTACTGTATATATTTGGTCAAATATACCCAACGTCTGGGTTTATATTTGTTACTTACATACTTTTGTATTATTTCAAGACTTTTTGTGCTCCACATGTGTAATTGAAAGTGAAGTCACAGCAGCATTAACAGCAGCATTCTATGTTAGTGTTTTCAGAAACTCCTTGACATTGGTATCAAGTTTCTGTACTGTTGTCTGTCTTTGTAGGGCAGCAACTATAATGATACACACAAAATAAATCCTTTTAAAAGAGAGAAACATTAATGCTAAAAATGGCCCCCTCTGGTGAAACTTGAACTGTTTTGCAGGGCTGCACATAAGTGGTCCGCAGGTGCACATGCGCTTTCAAAATAAAAGACGTGCACAAGATAAGAAGTTGCAACGCGCGTTTGCGTACATATGATTTTCTGGAGGACGACAGACATTTGTTTAGAACTCTTAAAGATGTCAAAGAACCAAGCTCCTTTAAGCAATTACAGAAGGAGTCCGGACAAATGAACGCACAGAGATGTGGTGCAGAATATGCAGTGAAAATCCCACTCTAGCGGACAAAAACAGTGCCTTTTAGTCCGCTAGAGTGGAAAAGAATACGCGCTTCTTTTGCGGTTCGGACTCCTGACATTTCTTTGGAGGTGGAGGAACGCCAAAGTAATTGCTTAAAGGAGCTTCTTCAACATCTTTAAGAGTTCTAAATAAATGTCTGTCCTCCAGAAAATCTTATGTACGCAAACGCGCGTTGCAACTTCGTATCTTGTGCGCGTCTTTTATTTTGAAAGCGCATGCGCACCTGCGGACCACTTATGTGCACCCCCACCCACCTATGGGTGTGCACCCTGGTGTTCAACTTGGTCATAGTTAAACCATCTTTAGCTGTTGTTGAGTAGTTGCTAACCCTGTGGCAGGCTCTGGCATTTCAAATGACCATTTGATGATTTAAAGGTGGAAACATGTCATGTTTTATGTGCTTCTATTGAGGCTTTCTGTTTACTGAACTTGTTTCAGTTTGGTGGATCACAGTGATGTCTGAGCCAGCTCAACACTTCTAAATGTGATATTTAACCAAAAATAAAGCAATTCAAATAATGAATTCTGATCAAAAATTAAAACACCAGAACGCAGGTGGTGGCCGTAGCTGGAGGTCATGGCCAAATTCTCCTAGAAAAAGAAAAGGAAACTGCTTTACAGGTATTTGTTACCTCATTTTGCAGAGGATACACTGGACCAACCATTTTCAAAGGAACAGAGAGATAATCCTGTCACATGATACAAAGTGTTGCATACTATAATTTAACTGTTTTTGAAGCATTTCCATTTAATACCATTAGTTGCTAGCATTGCTACTTATGGCATTAAATATCGTCACAGGCAAACTATGGACTTATGCTACTCACTGTTATGAAGTTTTGCCTCGTGTGAAGCACTTTATAATCACAGACTGTATATTTATTATGAACATTTCTCTGATGATGATGTCACCAATTGGTTTTGGACCACTTTATGAAGCCTTAGCTTTAGCATTTTTGTTTTTATTAGACAGAAGTGGTCATATTAGAATGACATGGTAGAGTGCTAAGTTATCAGATGTAGGCACCTGCAATTAGGAACAAACAGCACAAACACAGTGGATAGGTCCAGTTCAGTGAACTGAATTAGTGAAGAACAAAGCCTAGCAGACAGACATCAAGTGCAACTTCCTGTGTCAGGACACCTGTAAAACACAGCACACCACTGACACACTATCCACATGGATCAGTTGTAGCTGCTATCCAGGGAAGACTGGAAAGTATGAGTCTACTGGAATTGACTCCCTTTTAGAACTAGTTTCATTTGGCCACTTGAGCAACTGCAGCTACTGGAAAATTCAGTGTTTCTTAATTTTTCAGTCCTAGAATTTGCCGCTTGAGTGTAAAGTAGATTCTTCCAAAAATAAAGGTAATTTGATATCTTTAAATGGTCAAAATGAAGTGAAATTTGTAATAATAATGGATTGCATTTATATAGCGCTTTACACTTCCACTATTCATTCACACACTGGTGGAGGCAGCTACAGTTGTAGCCACAGCTGCCCTGGGGCAGATCGACAGAAGTGAGGCTGCCATATCGCACCATCGGCCCCTCTGGCCATCATCAGTAGGTGAAGTGTCTTGCCCAAGGACACAACGACCGAGACTGTCCGAGCCGGGGCTCAAACCAGCAACCTTCCAAGACAAACTGCCAATTCTTGAGCCACAATTGTAATGCAGACTGCATTTGTCCTTATTTGGTTGCTGCAAAATGCAACTTTTTGGGATTACCACTAATTTAATAAATAAATATCACTGTGTATTTCAAGATTCTTCCACAACTGTCTCTGAAGCCCAAGGTTGTTCATTTTGGCGACAGGCGTGGGACTGTTTTTCCCCCAAGCAAGCCCAACTTTTAAGTGGTGTACTCACTGCCATTTCTCACGTGTAATTAACAAAATACAACATAAAATACTCAGTGCTATAATGCCATACAAACCAAGGCTTCTAATATTTGTATTTCTTTCATTTCTAAGACATTTCTTAGAAAATGAACCTTCCTCTCTTAATATAATTTATACCCCCTTTGTCTTTCTGTTTGCGTTATGTTCCTGAAAAATCACATTTACTTCCATTACTTCATCCCTAGTAAAATAAATAAAATAACAAAAAAAATTAATTGCACACAGAAAAAAAAATCTTCTGTTGAAAATAATCTTTAAATTTGTGAATTATGAAACAACACAGTTCCAGTGGGATGTGCTGTCATCTGTGTTGTTCTTACTATGGCCACTGGGTGGCGCCAAAGTCAGAAAGAATGTTGCGGTTTGCCTCAAACATTAACACTTCACAGTTACTCTTTATATACTAACTTTATGATAGTGAAAAGTACTAGTATACAGTTATTATGTGCAGCTACATTTACTGCAAAAACTTTTGTCATTTCTCAGCTTGCATAGCTTCTCTTCTTCTCTGTTTTACTCTTCCTGCCATCAGAGGTGCAAAAAGAGGAGCTGAAGGAACTCCAGTCAGTCACAAAATAAGACTGATTTTGAAGATTAATTTTTAAACTGAAATTAGTTATAAGAATTATGATTTTTGATAATGCTGCACTATAAATTGCTGTGTTATGATGTCATGATGGGTATTAATGGTATTTATTTTTCATTTAGGCTACTATTAATTAAATTGACAAAATGGTGCAATGAAAAGGGCTAGTTATGTAAAAACCCCTCCTTTCACTATGATTTGTATATTTAGTGTGAGCCTGGCACATCGCATTACTCCCAAACAACACTTTTTCCTACAACATGTAAGGATGAAGTCTGTTTTTAAGGGAACAGAATTGCAATCTGATTTTTAGCCACAGTAGGCAAAGAAACTAAGCCTGTTATAAAATGCTCATGGATGGGACATTATTGAGAGAAAATGTACAGTGAGCAGGATATATCTTTCAGTATGGTTATATTATATTAGGGAAAGATTGTGACATAACTAGCTAGTTGACTTCTGACCTATCAGCCAATCAGCTCCTTGTCTTCTAGAGGTTGTCGCTACATTGCTACCCGACTTGCTACTTAGCTTAACCTTTAAAAAACAAACTTAACTTACAGAAAACTTTACTTACATATTTAGAAAGGTTTATTTGTTGTGTGCATATATTTTTATAGCTAGTCCCAAAATCAATCCCTTAAGGCCGATGAGTTAAAGGCTACCAATTTTAGCCAATATTACTCTGGATTAACTTCTGTGCAAAACTGTAAATAAAAGCTGAGTGTCACTTTAGAGTCTAAAACAAGTAAAGCCAAAGCTCAAGTGTCCTAAGGGAAACACCTCTGGTTACAATGAGATTACATAGAGGTCTATGGCAAAATAACCCTATGCTTCCTTGTTCTGTGACCACAGTAAACGGTTTCCTGGTTAGATATGGTCTCAGTCACTAGTTCTGAGTCTTATTAAACACTGTCTTGCAGTATCTGGTTTCCAAAATCTAACAGTGAGGACAAAAACACTCAGGTGAAGTTTAAAAATGAAGTTTAAATGACAATACTGTAACAGCAAAGAAACACACAGTGTTGGGAAGGTTACTTTTAAAATGTA